GATATTTTCCAAGGTGGCGCACCGCTGGTGCTTGGGCGGAGTTAACTATCTAACCGACTTAAGAACAAGTCACCAGACCCCCAACGAATCACATTTGCCCAATGCCAGACTCAGAAATCAAAAGCTCAACTTTCGGGTTCCATCATGTTCCAGACTAGTTTTACGGAGCTACATTTTTCCGACTTGATTGCCGAAACCGAGATGAAGCAAGGGACCACAAGAGGGCGAATCTAGTCAACAGTTCGACGGTTTGGCTTTTGGTGAACTTGTCACATCGCCGAGCTAGCATCCTCCCTTTCAGATGTAACAGAACCTGTGTGTACCATATCTTAAATTTACTACGAAAACCGACGAAAGATAGTTGGGCCAATCACTTTTATTCGCTTACAGGCAGCCAATAGTTCGCTTACAGACAGCCGAAGCAGAAGTCGAAAACGTGTTGTAGTTCAGAGGGAAACATTAGGCTATATATATACAACAAGAAGAACAAGTTGATTTCCAATCAACTTGGTTCTTCGTATAGATATCTCCGGATTAATTCCGATGGTTCGGCTTGCTTCCTGATCTGTACCAGCTTCATATCAACAAAACGGATTACCCCTCAGACACTCGTGCTTTCTTTCCCAGCGACCCACCCAGATCGCGCTAAACTAGATCTGGGTCATGAAAACCCCACTATTCTTTCTTGATGTATCCGTCGTAGGTCATGAAAATTACCGTAATTGCCGTTACCGGCCTTATGGACCCATATTTGCCAAGACGCCCTGGCCATAGCCTACCTAGTTTTAGCTTGGCCTCGATTGCACCAGTTTTGAGGATCCTAACGTCCCCCCCCCTCCCCATCCCAGATTTCCTTTTTTTTTTTTTTTTTTTCCTCCCGAAACTTACAAAACTGTTGCACTGTGGATATGCTAATCCAGAATAACAAAACTTAATTCTGCCTCATATCTTATTCGATAAACATGATTTTTAAATACATACATCTGACAATAGTGGCATATTTCGGGTCTCAACGGGAAAGTGACAGATAACCGAAACAAGCTCACTTCGGACCCAAACTCGGTCTTGCGTTTTAGATACTATCCTTATAGAAGGAATTCATTGCTGTTCGAGCAGATAGAAGACTGTCATTCAGATTGCCGATTTCTTCCTTAATGAGGGTAAGACGGAACATCTCAATTGCTTCTGCGACCTCGCCATGTATACTCATCATCGCACTGACTCTTCCAATATTTTCACAGCTATCGTGAAATTCGCGGAAGCCCAACGCCACTGCACATTGTTGCAGGGATTCACTGTTGAAGATCAAAGAAACAAAGTCTCTTTTCGAACTACCCATGAGCATATATCGTCAGAATGCCAGTTCACCTCTCTTAATTGCCTCAAGTTATGCACTCTGATTAAGGCAGGGTTGCATCGGGCATCAGCGCTTACAGGGCCATCTCCATATAGTCCACCTTCTCCTTGCCTCTTTCAATGAAGCCATAGAGCGCTGTTGAGCTACTCTTTCGATCTTCTTCCTCATCCGTCTCCAACAACTGGGAGAAGACGGTCATATCAAGTACTCCCTTCATCTTGATGTTGAGTTCATTGTTTTCCATGATCCTTTGAGAGGCTATTAGATGATAAGTTAAACGCCAAATGAATGGGTCGGCTTGCCTTTATAGCTCTGTACTATGGAATCCTAGAATATAGTATTCACAGTGCAGCAATCTCATAGGTTTTGGAAGGAAACCGCAAAAAAGAAAAGAAGTAGTCTTGGGGTTTTGGGTGGGGGTGGTTCCACAAGACTGGTGCGATCGAGGTAAAGCTAAAACTCAAGCTAGGCTACCTATGGCTACAGGACATATTTGCCAAGTGCTGGAAACTGCATTTGCGGTAATTTTGATGATCTACCAGAAATTCATCAAGAAAAGCTGGTGGGACTTTCCTTGACCATATTAGGTTTAGCGCTACTGAGTGGGGCGCTGTAGAAACAACATGCAGATACGGAAGGATAGTTCGGGGAAGGATAAGACATAAGAGAGAGTGCCAGGATGAGGAATTGATGTACTGGCTAGGTAGTACTGAACATGTCCAATAGAATCAGATGATTGATTGATTAAGGATCAGAGTGGTTGAGCACCCGTGAGAGTCTGTATCGTCCAGTTTTGGTGTGTTACGGCACCGTACTCCGAGTCTAGCCCGAATACCACGCGAATACCTCTGGAATTGGGTGGACGATGAATATCCTATCCCGAATGGGTCTTAGTGGTATTTTACCACTCCTTCGGTTGGACAGAAAGGAAGAAGAAAAGAATCCGGGAAAGATAACGTTAACGCAAGAACAAAACTCAAAGACTATTAATTTCCCCAAGTCAAGAACCATCTCACAACAAAGCTTCAAATCTATAGGCTACAACCTAGCATGGATAGCCATCAATCTGCCTTTTCTGATTTGTCAGGATAGTGAGACATTGCTGCCGGCAACGATACAAGTCTTTTTTCTTTGTTATTTGCTGAAACCACAGTAGTTGCCTGCTGAACATCACTTGCAGTATCCTCACTAAGGACACTTCCCGTCATCTGCTCCACGTACCGCTTGATGTACCCCTCACACTGTGAATGCTTGAGGATTTCAAGTCGCAGATCCAACAACTCGTATTGTAGCCTTTTGGTACCAGCCAACAGTTCCTTGTTCCTAGCGGCTTGCTTTTTCAGAGTCGATTCGTCCTGCTGGTTCTGTAGTTTTCTTTTTTGACGGCATCGTTTCGCTGCTTGTCGGTTACGTTTGAGCAGCAGTTCATGATGGGCTAGGGGCATTAATGGTTTTGATGGTTGCATGGTTGATTTGGTATTGGAGGCAAGGCTGCCATTTACCAGTTCAGGCTTCGGCTTAGTAGGTTCGATAGAAGCGATGGAGTTTTCTCTGTTCGCATTCGGGCCGTTGGGTTGTGCTTTCATATCCGAGGAGACGCATTCTTGCGTAGTCTTCAGATTTTCGGCCTGTCTCAAGGCCGATGGTGCAATGCACGATAGGCTAAATATCTCATTCTGTGATATGTTCTGGTTGAGTTGGAGGGGAGAATATGGTTGTATTGATGATGCGTCCAAGGTGAGGTTGACTGACTTTGGGAAGATCTGATTGAATTCTCCCAGTGACAAAACTGGCGGTGGTGAAATGAGGGGTAAGCCGCAGAAGGAGTCATCTTTTACCTCGGTGGTGATGGCGTCGAATGGGATAATGTTTACGTCGTCGGGGCCTAGACTGTCGATACCGTTGAGCCACGTAATGTTTTTGAGATTCCCCATTGTCGTCGTTGTTGCCGACTCAAAATCCAAAAACTTACGGAGACCTCGGATTGTTAATGTATGTGCTAGGTTTAAATGGGCTGAAGAATCTTTTGATCTGCCTGGCTATGTAAGTAGTTCACGGAGGAACGAGCAAAGTAAGCCCGGCGGAATTTCGTCTTATGTATACCAGTTTTCTGTAGATAGTGGACGAGGGTGGTTGGACGAGCGAATAGATCTACGACTCTGTCAAGTCATCTTACAAAATAGAATCCATTATTTACAGAGGGGCAAGATTTCAATCCAATAAAAACCCGTCCTCGAATTTCCCCGCACTGTCCGGTGACTCACTCTTTGGGGACAGAAATCGACCGGATATTTGGGCCATCGAGTGAGGAGGCTCGGGAGCCTAGTCACCTACCTCGACCCCTCAGAGTTTGCTTTCCTACTAGATCAAAATACGAATACAGTACATATGTACTTAGCCTAATGGGTGAGGTTTACAATCAATCGCGGAGCAACACACAGGCTACAGCAATTATATATTTCCATGCACACACATGTAGGTTATAACTACTACTTCCAAAAAACGGACTTAGAGCTTCGTCAAATCCTGTCGTGACCGAATTGCCGTTCGTGTTGTTAGGCTACCCTCGAGGCGCGCGGCTTCGAACTCGTTGTGACGCCCCGGCGAAGTCTAGAACGGCCTCGACCGCCCTAGCCCGGGACATATGTACCCGTCAACCTCAGGCTCTCGGTCACCACGCTCTCCAACTCCCTTGCCGTCGCTGCGGCCTGGCACCATCTTCACCCCATATTCGTAAGCTGCACCCCGAACGTGGTTTGTCTAATTTTTGTTGGTATATTTTGAGGAAATTGGCAGCTTTGAGGATTACAAAGTGGTCTCCGGTCACACTGTCAGCTCAGATGGGAAGTGGGACCCTAAGAACCGATTCGGTCAAATTTCTATCTTTTTTTTTTCTCATTTTTAGCTAACCTTAACTCATTTACTAAAAAGGAATTCTCTTTATTTATTTCATCTATGCCTGCCGACGAGAGTCTTTGATTTTTTTTTTGGCGTTGGCAATGAACACGTCTAGTTAGCAGGACGCAGGAAACGGCCACACCCACCGCCTTTCGCCGGAACTCATTAGCCATAAATCAGCACTTGCTAAAAGTGTCAGGACCAGTATGCATTCAGGACGAATAAGACAAAGCGGAAACACCTCAGGATAAAAAGATTGATTGATTGAATAGAAAACAAGCTGATGAACTGAGGGGGTGGTCAAATTCCACTAAGACCCTTCAGGATAGGCTTATTCGTCGTTCACCCAATTCGTCCTAGTATGGTTTCATAACAAGCCATAGTTCAATTAGAAGAAGAGACCCCTGAGATCGCTCAACCGATCTCAATACCTTCAATCAATCATCTGATTCTATTGGGCATGTTCGGTACTAGCCAGTAGATCAATTCCTCATCCTGACATAAGCATTCGATAGGGGGCAGGTTGAAATACCTCTGTATGTGCGTATACTCGGTGGAACACAAAGGAATGTGGGTTCCTGGGTAATTAATCCGCTTGCTAGTGGTAATTTACCACTGCATGCGCTGACATGTAAACTCGAGCTCCTGAGAATTGGAGCTTTCGCCTCCGCAGGCTGTGATGTCATCGCCATGATCAGGCGCCTCTCCTGGGTGTCATTAATTCTTCCTATCCCATACCTCGGACATGGCAAAAATTATTCCAGAGGGGCTGAGATCCACTGACATTGGCCTCTTTGCCATGAGAGCAGCCCAGATCGAGAAGACCAAGCCTGTGATTGCCTATTGGTGTGAGTCTCAACTCCCTGGATGCTGCAGTGGATGTTGGAGCTTACTGAAACGCCAATATCGCAGGCCACTTTCACATAGTGAATCAGATCATCGGACGGGGTCTTCATAAATCCAACGATGAAATTAAAACCTACACCACCAACCTGGTGGATAAGCTTGAGCAGGTTCGCCGAGTCCCCAAACTCGACCTCTTTCCTGCTCTTTACTACCTGCTCTTTACATGACTGACAACGATTGTGACTGACAACGATTGTGACTGACAACGATTGTGACTGACAACGACGCTGTGATATAGTTCAAAAGCGAGCATTCTGGCGATGAATCGGTGGTGGATAGCGTCGTGGCGAGTGCACTCGTCGAGCGCTTTGGGTTGGAAGTTTTCGCTCGCGCTGAAGATGCTATGAACGCTAACAAGGTCACAAAGTGAGCTCCCAAATGTTGCTTGTGGCTACCAAGATGCCTCTTCTCTGATTTTACTAGGCAAACCGCAGATACATTCCAGGCAGCGGCTCTATTTCTCGAACTACGTCAAATCTGGGGGGCTCTGGACCCGGAAATTGCCGGAAGGATCAAGTTCGGAAAGTATCATGCAGTCCGAATTGTGAAGGCGATCAGGAATGGCGAAGATCCCAATGCGACGAATCCTGTTCCAGAAGAGGAAGCACAAAAATCAATCGCCAATCTGGAAGTTCGAACATTCGATGGATCGGTAGCGGAACAGCCCTCTCCATCCAGACAGCCGCCAATCGAGAAAATTCCAGAAGAACTCGACTGTCTAAAAGGGCGGGAGCTGACCCAGGAATTGTCTCTTGATGAATCGCTTCACACTTCCCGAGCTTCATCACTTCAGTGGCCGCCTGCAACATCGAATCATGATATTCCGTCTGTACTCGATGATATCCCTGGTTCTCCTGCGCGAACAAAGGAAATCAGCAATCCACAACCAGGAGACTTAGAACTCTCCTCATCCCCGGGGACAATTGGGTACTCTTCTCCAGTGCCGGGCCTACCAGGTATTCCCGGGACCTCAAATACCTTGCACTCCTTTCCATCACCAACCACTGGTTCTTCAATCGCCGTACCGGCCTCAGATTCGTTCCATGAGCTATCGGGCACTAGCTCTCATATTCCGCATCCTGCAGCTGTGCCGTCCGGACCACCTCCAGTCCTACGTGCATCTCTGGCTCATGTGCCCACTGGACCACCAAGTCAACCATCACAGTCGGTCGACGAACAGTCTATCTCTCTGGCACAGAAACATGCTCACTGGGCGCTCTCTGCGTTGACATTCGATGACATCGACACGGCCATAAAGGAATTCAAGAACTCTCTGAGACACCTGGGTGCAGCGCGTTAATATTGCTCTTTTAAGACATAAAAGCTAAGGCAACCGATAAAACTACTCCCGTTATACATTGTGATCGCAGTAATACCTTAAAGATCCCTATATTAGCTGGCATTGAACTACTCGCGTGAAATGGGATCATTATTCCTCGGGACTTTCGCCACCCATCCGAATCAATTCCTCGTATGCCTTCTTCTTGTCCATTTTGGTTACACCAGGACTCTTCTGAGCTCTTAAGTAAATTAGGGTTGTTAGCCATATCACATCACTGTAGCCACTTTCATTGATTTCAGCACTGACGCTTCAGGTCCAGCAGGGAATTTGCTCAAGTTTTTGCTTTGATCACCTCTAGCATTGTATAGCCTTTTGCATGACTGGTCACAGTCAAGATCTTGATCAAGTTGTACTTGATCGGGTCCCTTTACCTCATCTGAGACATTTGGGTTGCTTAGTCCTCTGTATTGCAAATTGTAATTAGCGTTGGCCATAGACCCTCAGCGTTTAGTTGCCAGGTGGTAGTCCACGAACGACTTATAACCTCTCATAGCATCTGGGTTCTCTTCGGTATTGGACATGTCGGGGTTCCTAGCTCATCAATTAACTCCTAAATATATTCGTCGATTGATAATAGTGAACAATGCGTGAATAAAATGTGCAATGTCTTTATACCTTCTGATCTGTATTACAAAACTAGCGTGTTGTGTCGTCACGCATCCGTCATCTTCCGCCTTTAGGCATATGACGTAATTCATCACGGAAAGAAGGGAATTAATACAGTCTGTCGGAAGTTGTCGTTACAGTACGGACTAGTACGGGCATGGCCAATTGAGTACTTGAGAGTGTTGATTTTGAATACTACGGGAAGTACAGAATAGTTATAACTAGTTATGCGATGTGGGCTTAGTAAGATCGTTTAGAGCCATGCAATCATGGTTGAAAACAGGCATGTGGGGGTGCTGAATATTCCCCGGGCGCACTAGTAAAACTGCGACCCTCTTTTGTCGACACCATACAAAACTGTATGGTAAGGGGGGCACTTCAAATTGAGACTCCTTGCTATCTCATTCGTGCATGCTAATTAGGGCCCACACCTGCTCCGACAAAATAGTGGGCCATCCACGAGCTGTTATGCCCCTTTTGATAAGGTGGGTAATTAACAATCATAATTGGCTGCTTGTATATCCACCGGCTCTGAGGCGTGCGAACTATTCTACTGAGCACTGCCTTGTCATGACGATCAAGACCCAAGAGGACTCTCCTATTAGGGGAAAATTGGACCTAGATTGGCCCTGCTTGTTGAAATATCCTCGGGGGGGATTGGGCGATTCCTGGACTTTATAACCTAAGTCTCATAAGCTGCTCTCCCGAGCGCCGAGGGACGAAAAAAAAAAGAAAAGAAAAGAAAACCAATTTCCAACTGGGACACGCAACGTTCATTCAAAGTCATCCAGCATCAACCGCTTTCTCCTTTCATTCGAGCTCGGTCTGCCATATTTTCCTTTCAACTCCGCAGATTGCTCGCCATGGCTTGTTTCGGGGACAAAGACCGGTCGGCTGGTTTTTTGTCTTGTTAATCGAAGGCAAATCAGAGGTAGAAGATCCAGCAGGGGCGGACTTTTGGGTATGTGAGCCAAACCGACTGCTGTAACGTCTTTCAGTCAGATGACGAAGTGCCTCATCCGTCATTGATCCGACTAATTGTGCTGAATTACCCTGAGAAACAGCTCTTTTGATGTCGAACAGATCAGCCAAAGTAGTCACTACTACTTGATCGCTGTCGCCCTCCGCAATCACCTCTCCAATTCTGTATGTTTTCTGATTTGACACTTCACTTGCAACTCTGCATACCTCTAAGCACTGCTTAGAACTATTGATATCTTCTTGTAGACGAGCCCTCTCTTTCTCATCGCTAGGGTCGTTTTTCAAGATCAAGCTCTCCAGACGATTCCGGAGCTGACTTATGATCAATGAGAAGCTATCACGATTCTCATCCAAAGCTTGACGTGTGAGTAGTTGCGCTTGGAAGCGTTTGTCTCCATCATCTTCTGCGTTATTTTGTGATCGGTCTTGCAAAAGAGAAAATTCTCGGATTCCTATGGATTCGATGCAATGTCTCGCGTCTTCGCAAACACGAAGACACTGCTTGGTAACCTCGCGTTCGTCGTTTAAATCCACTGTTAAATCAGAAGAACCTGCGCTGTTGATGTTAAATCGTTCCACTTTCTCGTCGATTCGTTGCAGATGCAGCTCGAGATTATAGACTGTATCCTGAATCATCTCATTGTATTGCTTGAGGACGTCCTGGGATATTTTGGCGGCATGTCTTGGGGACACGTTAGCGAAACCTCGAGAATTAGGCAAGGTGACAAACATGTTAACGGTACCTAAGCCCACAGAAATTGTAGACTTGTAGCCAGATATCATTTCGATGAATTCGTTGATGTCTCCTCTCATGAATTCCATTTTAGTCCAGTCTCGAATGCTTGTTTTCGACTTTCGCCAAAAAGACTCCATCGACTCTTCGAACTCTCGACAAACTCTGCTGCATCGGTCGATTGGACTCTGCAGGAGCTCCAACATTGTAATTTCCTCGTCAATGACACGCGCCAAGGACTCCAGGATTTTTGTGAGGTCTTGAAGCTCATCTTGCAGCCTTCCGAGGGTTTTGTCACGACCTCTGTAGCGTGAGACAGCACCGTATAATGATTTTGTTGATTGAACTGCGGCTGTTATGACAGCAAGCGCTGAAGCAGTCATACTTATTGGATCAGCCATCATCTAAATCTTTTGCAGGCCCTTCTTGTTGATGCTATTTAGGGAGAGAAACGTATTGAAGGAGAATTGTTTCCTCGCCGGATAAAGGGCGGGGTAGGGGGCTTTCATCACGTGCCTAAACTGATTGGCTGAGTTTAGGCGTCGCCGAAACCCACGCACGAAAAACCAACATACGGGTTGGGTTGGGTCTTAGTCAGCAGATCCGCTGTCGGAGCAGCTGTGGACCTAAGTAGCATACACGAATGAGATAGCAAGGAGTCTTAATTGAGAACGTCCCTGTTACCATACGATTTTGTATGGACAATCTATCTACCGAATATTACAATCACGTTACTAAATACAACATATGACAAAACAAAGCTCCATATATTCCGACATGAAGAGAAGTTTGGAGTGCTCAGCTCGACCTAGTGAGCAAATCCCGACGAGGTTAAGCACTAAACCAGAAAGGGAACGCGAATGCAAAAGGTTTCAGAGGAAATTTAGCATGTAGCTGAAAAGATCAATGTGGCGGGCGCGCGATGAAGGGCGATTCTTATCCGCTCTCACTCTGTCTACGTAGCCAAACATTGAAAAATAGTTGGGCTCCATAGCCCCTCGGCGAAAATGTTCCAGCCGTAAACAATTTCTTTATCTTCTATCGGGCGCACAAGCATGATGTGCTCGCCGCTGGCTCAGCTAGTATCTAACTCATAGATCAAATCACAGTATTTACGTAGATATACGAAAGTGGTCGCTTATATTAGCCGATGTACTATGAAGTCGATACTCTTGGCAGGGCTAAGAGGTCCCTTTATCGCCTTCAGGCTCTTCCACCATTTCCTTACCCGTGCTGGAGCTAAAGGAAAGTGACTCGGAAGATTGAATTGAACCCCCGCCGGGACCAGCCTCGTCGGTTTTTTCCGGGGAACTTGGCGAAGTCGGGAATTGTATCACGACCATCAACGCAGCCACTCTGCCAATCAAGCTTTCTCCGCCCTCAGCACCCATCGCGGAGAAGGTGTGATCTGTGAGCAGGGTTGCGGCGCTGCCGCGGACTGAGCGGGTGATTGCGGACGCAGTAATGAGATAGACATCCACGAGGAAATTCCGCACTGCGTTCCGAGCTGGTGGAGAGGGTCCGATAATGAGGAAGATGGATTGACTGGAATGCGAGAGAGCTTTCCGAGATTTGATAACGAAAATTTAAGAAAGGTAATAGGTAATAGTTAATAGTACCTAGATCTGGTAGCTCAGCGACGAGGCGTGTTTGGTAGTATTGCGTAGTCGTGTGCAACAGTTCCATACTAGACGCTATACTTCATAAACGGCCGCCATATGGTGAGGAGTAGGGGAAGTCACACTCGAGAAGCTTTATGAATTACGAAGATGGAGGGTCAGGCAAGGATACAAGGACTCTGTGTAATCTATATGCAAGTGATTTTCACATCTCTACAGAATTCACAACTCGACTGACCTTTACCAGGATAATTGCTGCCTGAATGTTTAGGCTGTACATTGTGGCCCGAGAATCATGGCCACCAACACTCCCTGGTTTCCTTCCACTTTCACTCTGAAACTATTCCAACTTCAACTTCCCCAACTACTCCAAGAATCATGCCTTGGTTTTCCACATTCCCCAGGATCCCGCCACAAGGAATTTGATTCCAGCAGCCAGCCAAAGGATTGGAGCGATGTTCCCTGTGGCCTTGGTGACCCAGCCCCCAACAATGGCACCCGCCAGCGTTAGAACGAACGCTATGATACGACGGTCCCGCTTGTCGTTTCGCAAGAGAAACAGTTTCGGGTCCGACATCAGATCGCAGAGCAGACTGGTGATTACCACGGTCGGAATCTCGTTGAAGCCCAACGCACGACTGGCCACGATCTGTCCTGCCGACTGAAGACTAAGAAGCACGATCGGCACTTCTTGGTCCCATCGAGTGATGGATTGTGATAAATCGTCATCGAGAGCACTCGACACAACTCTTCCCTGAACGAGGGCAGCTGTTATGATGATGATGCAAGCTTGGATGAGGAAAGACAGCATCAGAGACCCCCGACGCCGTGCCCCAATGATGCGATTGAGCCGTGCAAAGAGGAAGCAGCCGATCACAAAACACACGATCGAGGTCAACGAGTGTGCCCATCCGAACGGACGCGGGTTTTGATTTGAAGCTCCCAGTCCCACGAAAATGGTATTCCCTGCAATGCGAGACATCATGGAATATCAGCATCTCTACACCATCTCAAGCTCATTGATTGCTGATTGTGACCAACATCGCGTTCATACCAGTTTGCATAGACACAAAAGTGTTATAGGCTGCTCAAGTCAGTTCGACCAGCCTCAACTTCCAAACCAAGCCAACAAGACGACGCTCGTACCCTTGTATATTGTACTATCCACCAAACCCGAAGTCAAGCAGCAGGTAAACAATAACAGGTCGGCATGGCGAGGATCGACCTCACCTCCCAAGAACCTGGATAATCCACGAAAAGGTTTCTCAGGTTGTTCCATTGCAAGTGACAGAAATCAGAATGTATGACGGGAGACAATTTGCTCTTGTTCCTATGGGGCTAGGAACTCGCCGGAATATGTGAGAAGCCTAGGCGAGGGTCCTCCCCTCCCTGTCGGTCCGTCGATCTCATCCTTTTTCGGGAACTCCTCTTTCTTCATATCGGGGATGTGTGTCCTTCTTGGCCTGAGGGGCAAAGCGAAACAACCCCCCACGGATGCTGGCTTCCAAGACGAGCAAGCCTGGGCATGGACATGAATCTCCGCCCGGAAAGACCGAACAGCCTCTGTCACCATTTAGCCTTCGGGTAGATCATTCTTCGGCCGCAATCTGAGCATTGGGCGGAGTGTCTGACCCCCGCCTGGACCGGATATTTTGCCTTGCACACCGGCTGAATAAGGTGGTCCTGAAGCGCCAAGAAGGACTCGGGGGAATTTGTGGTGACACTCAGCGGCTTGGCGCCGTATCTGGTCTTGCCCCTGAGATCCACCACACCACCCACCACACCACGGAAGTTGTGTCACAACGGCTTCTCGTGTGTGGGGGATAGAATTAAACTTCCAGCTTTGTTTGTGATCGTTCTGTCCCCTCTATGGGTCGTCATGGCCGAATGATGAGCCATAGCTTTATGTTCCTTGAAATTAAGTTATAAGAGCAACTTTGAACTGACGGATATACTCCCCTTTCCCCCTCCGAAAATGGAGGATACCACGCTGTTACGCTCCCATGGCTAATGTGGCTGCTGATCTCCCGAAAGATTAACTGCGAAAAACGCTTGGCGAACTGGGGTTTGAATAATTGAATCGCGGGCCAAGAATTATATCACTCCCGAGCACTGCCCCCTTCACCCCTGATAGGAATTTGCAGATGCAAGTGAGAATGCGACTCATGCGCAGCTGCATATGCATTTGCCGTCACTGGCGTCTTCAGACAGATTATCTTGCCTGTGTACTCCGTGTCAATTGCCTCTCTTCTGCCTCGCCTATCCCATGCTACTCATTTTGCCTTTGTCCGATTGGATCGCAGTTCCGTTATCAGGACCGGAGCCTGACGATTTCACCACCTTCTTCCATCCGTGCCGTAAATGGCTTGACCTTATCGGGAATGATAGTCATCCTAATATCTCCTCGGCGGTCTTCACGCCTTCATTTCCTGGCAGGAACTAACTGGGTTACCATGTCATCTATGCCTCCTTTCTAAGCCAGTACGACCCAAGAATGAGCAAATGATCAATTTCTGGCTTAGCACATGATGGGATGTTGCATCCTCAAGAGACCTAAGCCCTTTTTTTCGTGACCAGTGTCGGAGATCCGCTCGGGGTTATTCTGCGCAATTGAATTCACTCGAAAATCGGGCCATGCTACTCCGGATAGGAGACTATTGAACTATAAGTAGTGAGATCCGAAATTTGAATTCAAACCAAATCATAATTCGCCTTACAATCACACAAACTCTTTCTGTCTTTTCCCGTCGTTGTGCTACCGTCGGCACAATGACAATCACTATCACTGTTGAGAAGGATGGCTTCTATGAAGTCAATGGAATGCGCCATGAGCCTAGTGTCTCTCTTTATGTCATTCCCGCTGCGTCTAAGCTGCGTCGAATGCTGAAGGACTCCAAGGACCTCATTATCTGCCCAGGAGTGTACGATGGTCTGTCTGCTCGAATTGCCATGGAGCTAGGCTTCAAAAGCATGTATATGGTATGTCATGCGTTCTGGTTGCTCCTCACTTGGGCCTTGGGCCATAACTGATGTCAATAGACTGGTGCCGGTACAACTGCTTCACGACTTGGAATGGCGGATCTGGGTCTAGCTCAGCTTCATGATATGAGAACCAATGCGGAGATGATTGCCAACCTTGACCCATTTGGTCCTCCTCTTATTGCAGACTTGGATACCGGTTATGGAGGTACGTCTAGAAGGGCTTGCTCAAATAATACAACTAAACATGGATGTGGAGCTGACATGCTCAATTGCAGGGCCTCTGATGGTGGCCAAGTCCGTGCAGCAGTACATTCAGGCTGGCGTGGCTGGATTCCATATCGAGGACCAGATCCAGAATAAACGATGTGGCCACCTTGCCGGAAAGAAGGTAGTGGGCCGTGAAGAGTACCTGACGCGAATCCGGGCGGCCAAGTTGACCAAAGATCGCTTGCACTCGGATATTGTCCTCATCGCAAGGACTGATGCCCTCCAACAACATGGCTATGAGGAATGCATCGCCCGCTTGAAAGCAGCGCGAGACATTGGGGCAGATGTAGGTCTTTTGGAAGGGTTTACATCGAAGGAGCAGGCGCGCCAGACAGTGCAGGATCTTGCCCCCTGGCCTCTTCTCCTCAACATGGTAGAAAACGGTGCCACTCCAGTGATTACCACCAAGGAGGCGGAAGAGATGGGATTCCGAATCATGATCTTCTCATTCGCTTCTCTTGCCCCGGCTTACATGGGCATTCGGTCGGCTTTGGAGCGCCTGAAGACTGACGGGG